AGAAATCAATGAAATAGAAAACTGGTTCTTTGAGAAGATCAATAAAACTGATACACCTATAGCCAGAATGATCAAGAAAAAAAGAGAGAAGATACAAATTACCAATCAGTAATGAATGAGAAAGATGACATCACTACGAAATCTATATATCTTATAAGGATAATAGGGGAATATTATGAACAACTTTATGCGAATAAATTTGGCAGCTCAGATGAAATGGAAAAATTCCTTGAAAGACACAAACTACCAAAGCTCTCTCAAGAACAAACAGATAACCTCAATAGCCTCACAGCTATAAAAAAATTGAATTTGTAGTTAAAAACCTCTGCACAGGGAAAACTTTTTAAAAAGAGTAACTTTACAGAGGAGGCAGCTGACAAACACTGCCTCAGCCAGGTGATCAAGATTAACATCAACATGTTATGTTGTCATGTTGATGGGATGTACCCTTGAAATGATGTGTTGACAATGGCACTTTACCTCTGTGGTCTTCCTGTCCAAATCCATAACCTCAGTCTCATGACGAAAAAAAAATCAGACAAATCTCAATTGTGGGTCATTCTATAAAATACCTGAACAGTGCTCTCTGAAACTACCAAGCTCATTAAAAACAAAGAAAGTCTTAGAAACTGTCATAGCCAAGAGGAGCCTATGGAGACATGATGACTAAATGTATAATGTGGCATCCTGGATAGGATCTTGGAAAAGAAAAAGGATGTTAGGTAAAAATTAAGGAAATCTGAATAAAGTATGGACTTTAGTTAATATTAATGTACCAATGTAGGTTCATTAATTAAAATAAATGTACTAAACTAATAAGATGTTAATAACAGGGAAAACAGTTTGGGGTATATGGGAATGCTCTGTACTATCTTCACAACTTTCCTGTAAATCTAAACCTATTCTAAAATTAAATTTATTTTTAAAAAAACCTTTCCCACAAAGGGTTTATCCCAGGAATGCAAGTTCGATTTAATTAATTTAAAGTAATTCACCATATTAACAAACTAAAACTAAAAAAATTATGATCATCTCAATGGAAGCCAAGAAAGCATTTGACAAAATCCAAAATCTGCTCCTGATAAAAACTCTCAGTGAAATATAACTAGAAGGGAACTTTCTCAATCTGATAAAAGACATCTATGAAGGGGCCGGCCCGGTGGCGTAGTGGTTAAGTTCGCTTGCTCCGCTTCGGCAGCCCAGGGTTTGCAGGTTCAGATCCTGGGCGCGGACCTAGGCACCACTTACCAAGCCATGCTGTGGTAGGCGTTCTGCATATAAAGTAGAGGAAGATGGGCATGGATGTTAGCCCAGGGCCAATACTCCTCAGCAAAAAGAGGAGGACTGGCAACAGATGTTAGCTCAGGGCTGATCTTCCTCACCAAAAAAAAAACATCTATGAAAAACCTACAGCTAACATCATACCTAATTATGAAATACTAAATGCTACTCTCCTAACATCAAGGACAAGGCAAGCATGTCCACTCTACCCATTCTATTCAATATTATAATGGAAGTTCTAGCAACTGCAAAAAGGCAAGAAAAACAAATAAAAGGTACCCAGACATCCACTAAAAGTGTCTTTATTTATAGATGACATGATAATCTATATAGGACAATTATAGAAACTATAAAAAAAGCTACTATAACTAATAAGTGAATTTAACAAGATGCAGGATATAAGACTGACATACAAAAATCAACTGTATTTCTATACACTAGCAATGAAAAAAATTGGGAACAAATTTTATTAAGATGCTATTTACAATCATATCAGAAATATGAAATATCGAGAGACTGATTTAAAAATGTACAAGACCTATATACCAAAAGCAGCAAAACATTTCTGAGAGAAATTAAAGAAGACCTAAATAAATGAAAAATAAAATAGATTGTGCTCAAGATTGAAAACTCAATATTGTTAAGCTGTCAATTCCCCCTAAACTGATTTATAGATTCAACCCAATCCAAATCAAAATCTGAGCATGGTTTTTTTTGTAGAAATTGAAAAGCTGATCCAAAAATTCATAGGGAAATGCAAAGTACTGGAATAGCCCAAATAACTTTGAAAAAGGAGACCAAAGTTAGAGGACTAACACTATGTGACTTCAAGACTACAGTCATCAAGACAACAAAAAGCCGTATAAGAATGGAAATGTAATGATAGTAGACTATGTGATACCACAGTAAATATTAATTTTATGCTCATAACATTGTAAATAATTGTCACAGGATATAAAAATGGAAGTTATGGCTAAGGCCCCAGAACAGTTTTAAAAAAAATTGATGTGCAGAAGATGACCACGTAGAACTTGCAAACAAACAAACCAAACCAGAAGAGGTGGAAGGAACCAGTTTTATGACTCTTAATCCCAACTCACATCAATGCCATAGACAGGTCAGGAGATGTAGACTAGAAAGAATTTTTAGAGAAATCTTTGGAGAGAGTATGGAGGAGGGGAATGTGTTCTGTTCTTCCTATTTCATGTCAAATCAAAAAGAGAGACTTTTAATACCCCTCAGAGAGCTTGAAATATGTTCTCTGGAGCTTTAAGAACAGAAGTGGTAGTGGTAACCACTTCACAATATATACATATAACAAATCATTGTGTTGTACACCTTAAACTAACACAATGTTATATATCAATTCCATCTCAAAAAAAAACTGGAAAAAAAAAAAAAAAGAAGTGGTAGATGGAGAAAGAGAAAAAGCCCAACACAGCCCCTCCCCTGACAACTACAACAGGCTAGACTTGAGGAGAGAAGCCCAACTTCAAATCAAGATGGAGCTTTGACTACTGCATCAGTCTTAGCATTCTGACTACCGCATGAACCTGCAGTTACACACTCAAGTGACTGGAGAACTTATATCATCCAAGAGGAACCAGAAAAGTCACCAGGCCTGCCCATGTCATCATCCAGAGGTAGAGGCAACTGCATTTAAAATAACAGCAGTCGGTGGAGAAAAGGCATTTTAAGAGTCCTGCATGATCAAAGTGATGGCTACACAGTGAACGTTTTTTAACAAAAATAGTGATCAGAAGTAAATTGGAAGGGTGGGGGAAGGAGATATGGGAAACTGAAGGATAGGAAGCTAAATCCTCATCTTCCATATCAGGAAATCAATAGATATTATCCAAAACCGAAAAATCAAGAAATAGCAATACAAGTATACTATTTAGAACAATGGAGCTAAATACTAAACAAACGACTGACAGAGCTAGAGGTGGTTTCCTCTGAGAGGAGGAAACAGAGGTTGGGAGAGGAGTGCAAGGGGAGACTGCTATTTTTCATGGAAAACTTTGTAGGACCATTTTCTTTTTAAAACTACAAATACATATTACTCCAATCATTTTTATTTTTAATGGAAACAAAAACAACCTTAAAGGATAGCGGTAGCACTGGAAGGAAGCTCAGACTCTGCAGCTTCTATGGGCAGTGTGTGTTATGGAGAGCGCTTTAAAGTTCATGGGCAAAATAAGTGAACTTTGACCTAAGTCTCACATTTATACAAAAATTAACTCAAAATGGATCACGAAAAAGTGTAAAACTTTTAGGAGAAAATCTTCAGGATCTAGGGCTAGGTAAAGAATTCCCAGACTTCACATCAAAAGTGTGAAAAGGAAAACTGATAAACTGGACTTCATCAAAATTAAAAACTTTTGATCTTTCAAAAACCCTAAGTGAATAAAAAGAAGCTACAGAGTGAAAGGTTACATTTGCAAGCCACATATATGTCAAAGGATTTGTATTTAGAATGTATAAAGAGCTCTAAACACTCAATAAATTGAGGGAAAAACTATTAAATCCTCATATGTAAAGAATTCTTATGAATCAATAAGACAAAGTAAATTACCCAAAGGAAAAATGAATAAATTACATGAACAGACAATTCAACATGAGAAAATATAAATGGCAAATAAAAATATAGAAAAAAATGCTCAACCTCGTTAGTGATCACAGAAAGGCAAATTAAGATTGAACACCATTTTTACCCATGAATGCTTAGCAAAAACTAAAGTCTAATGACCTGGGTATGGGGAAAGCAGGTATTCCTACATTCATAGTAGTGTAGCCATTTTGAAGGGTAATTTGGCAATACCTACTATCACTGAAAACTTGCATTCAATCTAACTCAGCAATTTCTTTTCCAACAAAGACTTGCCCATCAGCATGTGGAGGCAGATGAAGGGTAATCCGTTTAGCAAATAACTGGAAATAGCCTTAATGCCCATTAATAGGGAAATGGTATACATAATGAAAAACTGTGAAGCCGTTAAAAACAGTGGGATAGACTTATATGCATGACATGGAAAAAAACTCCAACAAATAGGGACACATTTACAAAAGCAAGCTGTGGAACAGTAAAACTGCGTGTACACAGCGTACATATATATGCACATAAATAGATATGACAGTGTTCATACCAGATTGTTAACAGTGGCTCCGTCTAGGGAGGGGACTGGGATGGACTGTATGATCACAGGAAACTACAGCAGGATTTATACTATTTGCATGTTGTTTTTCTCAGCTTGATTATTTTTTTCAAGAATATATTTGTGTCAGTTGTCTAATTAAAAATAATGATTTAGCACTTGAGACAGTGACTAGCACACAGCAGGTACTCAACAAACGCTAACTCAAACTGTAAAAAAAAAAATCAGTAAACTATTTTGAAAGAGTTAAAAACTTAAATATAAAGGATAACGTAGCGCGCTGGTTCTACAGCCAACGTTTAACACACGAGAAGGCAATAAGCAAAGTGATGGAATTCTTCCTGGTGCTGGTTTTCAAAAACTGATATAAGTACCTGAAACCCAGGGCAGGAAAAGGGGCATTATTGGAGGAAAAAAGGGATTCATCAAACAATCAAAGAAAGAAATTCAGGGTTTCCCAAGAATAGTGCATTCACAGAGAACACAGCAACGAGCAGTAAGCAGATGCTTCCAGAAGTTCCTGACAGAATGGCACCCTCAGCACACACAGAATGGTCATCTCACCTGTTGTCTTTGTTGAAGACGTGTTGGAAACCCCATTGAGCTCACTAGGACTCCTCTTTATGGGCCGTGGCTTGTATTCTCGTTTGGGGACATTGGAAGCAGCCGCTATTCTGTAACACACATTTCAAGAGGAGTCAGACATCCGAGGAAGAAAGTAAAGCCTCCAGACACGCATTTGCTCTGCCTTGGTGAGCCTACAACCTTAGGTGGTAGGTGGTGGTTCATGAAGGGGATGGTTTTCACACTGGTTCTTGAGTAGCCCAAAATGATAGATGTGCTACCCCAAGTGCAGTTTTTCAACTACCTACTTCAAAAGCCAGTGGTGCACTGGGCACTCAACAATGCCAGCTGCTCTTTCTCCCTCTCCTCTTGTAGAGACAGGATTATTACATACGCTCACGTGAGCTCTAGAAGAACCAGCCACCTCCAGAAGTGGATGCTTCAGAGACCGGACACACCTTTGTCTTCCCTCTATAATTACGGCATTCATGTAAGCAAAAATCCCTCCAAATGTATTCATTATCATAATTCTGTGTCAAACAATTTTCTATCATCAAACCTGGTCAAAAAATAGGGTAGTCTTTTTAACCCAATATTTTAATTAATAGGGTTATCGCGCATACTATATATGATATCACTAATTTTCAGAAAAGTATAGAATATATTATCATGAAAGTCGTAAGGAACACAGCAATCTTTCTCTGATCACTCAGAAGGTATTTTTCACTCTTTCAATATCTCTCTGAGTCAGTATTATGAACACGGCCTCACAGTTGTACTGGTGAAGTTAAAACACATCTTCTTCCAGATATTTGCACACTTTCTGAATATCATTTCACTCTTCTCCCCATCCTCAGACGGTGGGGAGGAGGGGATATGCCGTCGCCACCCTCAGCTTGTAAATGGAGAACTAAAAGCTCATCAAGGCAGCGGTGAAGCCAGGTCAGCTCTGTAGGGGCTAGACTCCAGGCGGGTGAGCAACCTTGTCCGGTTGCCCTAAACACAGGTCACAAAAAAGGGCTCTAGTGCAAAGAAAAAGGAGAAAAGCTGCCAGATCCCTTTTCCCAGTTCTGTCCTACTGGCCAAAGCCACGTATTTAGTGTCTCAGTGCTATCCCACACCCAACCGTGAAAGCCAGCTAAAGAAAATTCAAAACAGAGTGGGGCGGTGGGAAGGGGGAGACGGAGAGACAGAGAGACTGCTCTGATTGATTTTAATTCGCAACCGTGGACTTGCAGTGAACGAGAAGGCTCTTACCGCATCTGTAGTTTCCTCTGCAGCTCCTGCAGAATCTCTGTGGACTGTCTGTGATAGTCTAACGCTGCCTCTATAAACACGGCCAGCTGGCTAACTTGTTCTACCTGCAGCAGAAGTGGAAAATTACTCCACGGAGGCCAGAACCTATGTAATGCTCACACAGAGGAGACCAGCAACAAAGACCCAGCTTCGCAGGGAAGCCCCATGTCTGCCTCGGCTCCGGCCCATTGCATTTAATTTCATCTCGGAGCCCCGCGTAATAATCACGCAGGTTATGGTATAGAGCTATATATGCTGGAAAAACATGTTCAAATTTACTTGTGATTATGAATTTTATTTGACGTAATAAAATGCCTGTTTTTCTAATTAGATGGGCTCCCTCAGGAGCTTTTTATGCTATAAAGTTCATGGATCTGAAAACGAAGAGATAAAGTTTTTCCAATTACAAGTGAAGCCAACATTTAGTAAATGAACTGCTTCCTTAGTGAAGTGTCTCTATGGGCACTTTCTAGCTAAGTCAAATCAAGAGACTAAGTAAATTAAGCTATTCTCAGATAAGAAGGGAAGCCAGGGCAAAGACTTGCCAGCCCCCTATAAGTTTTTGTTGCTATCGGCACAAAATCATTTCCCTGAAGCATAGGGCTGAAAGGAATGAACTATAAAGACTCTGGCATCTCTCTTTCCCATGAATCAAGACATTCATGAAATTTGTGACCAAATTACAATGGATGTGAAAAAATAAAATATAAAAGCTATGTCACATAAGAAAGCCTGGGAGACCTGGGGAAGCGTAACGTGCGAAAGAGAAGTCCCCAGTAGGGCGTGAGCACCTCCCTGCTTCCCCGTGTGTCTGAGAGGCTTGAGGTGATGGGGCCCCCCAGCACGAAGGCCATCACTCCAGATGCAGACAGAGACACAAATCAAAATCAACCCCCTTTTCCCAAGCTTCCCTGAGACTTACGCATCATTTCCTCACTTCTTTTACTAATCAGCCTGAGGGCAAACTGTGCCCTGCTTATCCACCCACACATACTCACCCTGCAAAACCCACCACGGACTGGTTTGTCTTCAAAGATCCAAGCTGTTTCCATTTGTTGCTACAAACCATTCTTCAGCCGCCTATATTTTCATTTTCCTTACCCACTTATAGCATTTTAAACATGCGTTCATTATGCATTTAAGATATACATGGAATTCTACTTGTACCATCCTGGGATCGGCATCTGAACAATGAAGTCCCATTGTATTACGTTTCTTTGCCACGCTCTGTGGCTGGAAAAGCACAGGCCTAGCCTTAAATTTCCAAAAACCCAACAAACAAAACAAAGACAGCCTGGCCCCTACAAAATCCTAAGGATTTCTTAAGTTTCACCTCTTTGGCTTTTCCACATACTTTTAAACAAGTCCAGTGCCACGGACTAACATGATCACAGCAGAATCTGCTCCAGAAAGGAATTTCTTCCTTAGAGCGCTAGAGCTGTGTGCTGGCTAAAACCCGTGCCACATCTCCCTGTCTTTAGTACAGTTAATTTCCATTTTAATACCTACTTTGAAAAATGCTTGGCATTTTATAATTTTTAAAGGAACAGTGAAAGATAGCTAAATGAATATTCCTGGAAACATATGAGGGGTTGTTAGCATAGAGGGGAAGATCACCAGCTATCCTTTCTGATGTGGCTTAAATACAAGGGTATGTAATCTAGAGATGCATTTGTAACTATTCATTTGATGGCTGACTTTGGGAAGGAAATGGACTCCAAGGCCCCTTGAAACTTGGGAGACAACAGCAGCTACACAGACCACGTACATAGTAGGAGCTCAATGCCACTACTGAAGAGGTGGTTACTGAGCTGTAGGTCTCTTGCTGACACTGAAGCCATGTGGTGCAAGACAACGGAGGCTTCCAGCTGTCCCAGCATGTCCTGGGCCATGAGCAGCGCACTATGGGCAGGTGGCCTCTGCTTCCCAAACCACAATTTGAATTAAACACCTGGACAGGCAGAGCCAAGGTGGCGATAAATCCAGGCCTTGCAAGAGCCAAAACTTGTTCAGAAGGTAAAGCATTTCTTCTACCGGCCACACCACTCAATTTGGCAAATCCACCTCTTGAATCAGGGACGGTCACCTGGGATGAGAAGAAAGGCTTAATTCTACTTCTGGCTGAGACCTGGGCTGCCACTTTGTTGGTGCCATCTTGAGAGTAAAGTGCGACCTTGCCCTAGGGGAAGGTTCACATGACATACACAGAGGAACAGAATTACCAAAGAATTAGCTCCCTCTCTGAAAGTAAAGCACACAGCTGTTTCAGATGAGTCACACACACCCCAGATGTCTGAAGTGAGAAACTCATACTGCAAACAGACTTACCCATAGACGAGAGGTGAAGTAGGCTGAGGCCAGACACAGGCAATGGGGGGTGACAAATGGGTGGGGTGCCGACCATGAAGCTACTTGGGAGATTCACAGAACCATAAAACGAGAAGGAGCTTGTGGTAGACAGAAGATGGCCCCTAAAGATGTCCAAGTCCTATTTCTCCAAATCTGTGAATATGTTACCTTACAGGGTAAAAGAGACTTTGCAGATGTGTTTAAATTAAGGATCTTGAAATAGGAGACTATCTGGATTATCTAGGTGGGCCCAATATAATGACAGGGTCCTTCAAGAGGAAGGCAAAAGGATGAAAGTCAGAGAAGGAGATGAATCAATGGAAGCAGAGTCAGAGCGAGAGATCTGAAAATGCCTCTCTGCTGGCTCTGAAGACGGAGGAAGAGGCTATGAGCCAAGGAATGCAGGCGGCCTCTAGAAGCTGGAAAAGGCAAAGAAATGGGTTCTTCCCTTACAGCCTCCAGGAGGAATGTAGCCCTGCCAATGCCTTGATTTTAGGACTTCTGACCTCCAGCCTGTAAGATAATAAATGTGTGTTGTTTTAAGCCACACCATTTGTGGTCATTTGTTACAGCAGCAGTAGGAAACTGCTATTTCAGAGTTGCTTGAGTCTATTCTCAAATGAAGCAAAATCTAACAATGGGACTAGCTCTGGTCAGGGTCCCCTGTTTATGGGGGATGGGAGTTGTTGCCTTGAGACTCAGGAACCAAACTCATGAGGATAATGAACTCACTGTGGCTGGGCCTGGGCACTTCATTGCTGACTTGGCCCTACCCCATGGTCCCTTGCTCTCTTTCTAGGGGACAACACGATAACAGGGATGGACTCAATGTATCTCCCGTGGTAGACTACTCACACTGCACAACAGCCTGTGTGTCACCTGTGGGTGCATTCTAATTCCAAACCCTCTCTTTAGCTGCAAACCAATGGATGATCACAAGCATATGAGGCTGTTGGGAGTACTTTAGCAGTGGGGATGGAGGCAGAGCATAGATGTCCCCATACTACTGTAGACTAAGAGTACAAGAAGTTCCCAGGAGTTGTGGAAACCCCAGGAACACTCGAGTGGTATCTGAGCCATTGGGGTGGCCTGTGGACTGGCTGCAAAGGATCTGGGCTGTACCCAAAGGAAGAATGGCTCAAAGGACTACGTATCATAGTAAGGGCCCTCTAAAATCAACTCTCTGCAAGAGGGGTATAGAAACGGGCGGCCAAGAAGGAGCAGGGCTGTGAATTTTCTTCCTCAGACCCTTCAGCAGTTACCAAGAGACTGGTTAGCCGCCAGGTAAGTGGGCAGAGAGAGGCACAGTCTGAAGACCATGTTGAAAAGACAGAGATAACTGTGATGTAAATAGGTAATGCCTGGCCCAGATCCCTGGGATCTGCATTGTGCCTGGTACGCGTGAATAAGGAAATGGCACATCTTCTGGAACATGACAAGCCATCCCCTTTCACAACTGAAATGACACATTTCCATGGATGCCATCTTCTATTTTAATTGAGATAATCCAAGTGATTTCTTGCTCTATCATATCAAAGACCTCCACTCTTTTTGGATTCCTTGGAGAAGCTAGAGGAAAATTTCTCATAGATTTTCAGTCTGGTCATAACAGATGCATTTTCCAATAGTGCAAAAGCCTTTAATCAGAGTTTCTGAGAAAGTCTGAGTGTGGCAATTAAATTAATATTAAATTAATAACATGGATAATAATCCTTTATACTTTTATTCTCCACTTTATACTTCTAAGGAATTTCTCACACGCAGTTGTTCATCCGCCTGACACTTCTGAGGAAAAAGTGACTTTCTGGGGGCATACAGCTGAGCAGAAGCCAAACCAGAGCCAGATATCAGGTCTTTCCCTCCTTGTTGGGTATGCTCTCTTTCTACTAGTCCCATACTTCCTAACATATCTTGTTCCACACATCACTAGTCCTTGAAATGTCAATAATATAATAATAATGACAAATAATAATGGTATGGAAGAGTTCTTTGAAGTTTGAGAATAAGTTTGAGAAACTGCCTAGTGTATCCTTTCTTAGGAATCTCTTAGAGATTAATTTTTCATATTATCATACAAAAACTCTGAAAAGTCTTGTGATAAAGAAAACCTGTTTAGTTTCACTTAATCCAAGGTTTCCAGAACTTATTTGACCATAGAGATATTATTAATGCAACACACATGACATTCTGTGGAATGAATTTTGGAAAATTCCACTCTAGACCAATGGAAAGAACTCAGGAATCTGGAATCTAGTAACTTCACTTGCCCTGGGAGCCCCTAGATGGAGGAAGAATCCCCAGGCTGGGGATTCGTGCCAAGAGAGCCAGAGAGTAGTGCAGGTGCCTGGCTTCACCTGACTGAAACAGCATCTTCTATGTGATAGCTCTGGCTCTCGCCAATGTCAAAGACCTACATTCTATAACGTCAAGTTGTGAAGAATAAACTTCTCTGCAAGGACAGAAGAGGAGAGCATCAACAAGCCTATGAATGACTTGCCATTCCCAAGAAACGGCGGTGGAGGCTGGGAACCAACCTGCTGAATTTTCTGCACCTTGACCTCACAGCTAATTGTGGTGGGCACAGGGGCCCTTCTCTTGAGGGGAGAGCTGCCCTGGGTGCCTCTGGCAGCCCCACCAGTCCCAGCCTGGCACGGAAGAAGGAATGAGCCACAGGCCTGCCTCTCTGGGCTCCTGGGAAAGCTGGTGGACCAAAACACCTCCTGGCTTGCATCTGTGTATAGAATAATGAAGCTACTCAGCCAGCCTCGAGCAAGAAGTGAAGTGATTCTCAAAGTCTCCAATCCTGCCTTTACTGACAACAACCAAGGACTATAGTGTGGGGCCAAAAGAGAGTCTTCTCTTTGATTCTCCCATTCCTAACTCTGCGAAAAATAGATAAGAAAATGGATGCCGGCTTTCCTTAGGAATGTTGGAGGGAACAACTCAGGTCCCTCGCACCACCCTTTCCTTCTTTCCACACCCCAGGTGGAGGAGTGCTCTATCTGACTGATGATGTCTACGGCCATACCACCCTGAATGCGCCCGATCTCGTCTGACTGATGAGATCAGGGGTCCTAACAAGCAGGGTATCTGGACTCTGCACTGAAAAGGCCATAGGGGTCTGGCTCTGGGGCCTGTGTTCTCTAAGAAAGTGGGTTTGTGAAGTGGCCAAAAGATCAGGCGTGCATCTGGTTTTCTGCTCTGCCCACCTCACTCTTCCTGTGGGTGGCTCCAAGGCCTAGACTTCAGGCCTGGGGTAGGTAGTCAGAGTCCCACTGTGAACCCAGGCCCAAGCTGCCCCTGCCCACATGGTTTTCCAGAGAGCCCTGTCACCCTTGTTTGGCTGCCCCCATTGTTCTCAGTTGGGAGAATGCAGATGTGGGGACAGATGAGCAACCACACCCTGGGAAACCCTACAAATGGCCTGTTGGCCAGAAAATCCTAGGAAGAGTTGCATAGTCTGCATTTGGAGACCCAGGAAAGTCCAAGTCTGTCATTTCCAGTCTCCTCCAATCAGGCAGATCTTTGGCAAACAATCTCTCATCCATTATCTGGTGGAGCTTTCACTGTGTCTTACCCAGGGCTATAGGACATGAAGGCTGGAGAAGACACCACCTGTTCCCTGGAGAGTAAGACTTGGGGGTTTCAATTGTTAGTGCCAGACAGGATGGGCAAGTGGCACCAGACACACCACCCCAATGGTCTCCCTTCATTCACACTACTATGCTCATTCACTTTCTTTTTGGAGTGGGCACTTCCAAGCCTTCTCTCCAGCCCCTCTTCACTCCTCCTCCAGTGGGTGAGATTGGAGAAGGTTTCTTAATTAGTAAGATAGGTTACTCTGCCTCAAAAACTGGCTCCACGTGGCCTGGGGCCACTTGTCTCAGATTGTGTCTGGGTGGGTGAGTCAGGCTGGTTCACGCTGGAGTGGCTTTCATCAACTGAGGGTGCAAGGAGTAGAAAGCGCTATCTGGACATGAGTAGGCTCATGCTGCAAACTCCAACACAGTTGACCAGAAGGGCTGTATTTTACAACTACAGGGTTTTCTCATCAGTTAAAAGATGTCAATCTGGCATCTGTGTCAATTTCTCAATTAGTCAGAACCCAAAGGGTGAACAGCTATGACTGATACCCCCAAACCTCTAACCCACAATAGTATAGCATCTCCCACTTGTGTCTGGAGGAAGTACCAGGGCCTCTGCTGCCTGCCAAGTGCCCCCCTGAGGCCATATGTTTGACAGAGTCTGTCTGTCCTCAAGAAGCAGCAGGCGCCCGTTTTCCAGCAGGTGCCAGGTCAGGTGGGAGCACTTTCCAATCCATAAGGCAAAGGCAGGGCCTGTAGATCCACCGGGTTTAACTTGGGAATTGGAGAGATCCCAGCCATCTTTAGTTCCAGGATCAGTTCCTGGAAGAAAACCCAGCCATCACCAGCCATCCTGAAGCACAGCTTCTCATTCAGAGCTTCCTCACCACGAAAGAAAGCAGGCGTGGATACAAGAGGCTGAGTAACAAATGTTGGACATAAGGTTGGTAACCCAGATGGGGCAGGAAGTCAGGGTCCTGTGGGCTGCAGAGCCACTGGGCCTGGCCTGGTCATTGGAGAAGAGCCAAGGACAGGGCTGAGGGTTCAATGTATGCCCCACCCCTCCGTGTACTGGTATTTTGTTTCTCCCCCAAAAAATCACACCTACTGTTTATCCCCAAGCACCGGGCAATCTCAGCATTAGCATGACCGGTCCAAGGGGTGAACTGGAGAAGATTTTGAATACCTTGCCTCGTCAACAGGGCTGGCAGACCACCTGGATAGGGCCCAGGCACATTGACATGGGAAAGGACAAGGTGGTCCCCTTCTAGATCTAACTGCTGTTGTCCCAAGAAGAGAGTAAAGGCAGTCTTCTGGAACTGGCGCAATAACTTGTGAGTCTCCTCCACCATAAACCTGGGAAGGGGAAAAGGTCAAAGTGATATGCCATGACGGAGGGGCCACCACCAGCACCCCCTCAGCCTCTCTATCAATGGTAGCTCGGGTCACTGTCGTCATCATCACCAATCTCTTCAGCACCACTGCCGTCATTATCGCAAGAATCAGTAGCCACAGTGCACAGGGTGACAGCCACTGCGGCTCAAGCCGGCACCAGGAGAGGAGGGAAGAGACAGGGAAGGAGCCTAGTGGCAAGGCAGCCTGCAAAGGCCTTCACTGGTTCATTATTTGGGTCCCCTCCCGTCTCAGTGGCAAGTTTCCAGGGGCATGTGTCAAAGAATCGGGCAGAAGCAGCAAGGCCATCCCGATACCAGCCAGAGCAGCCTGTGGTGGAGGTGTGGACCCAGGCCCTGGACTGAGGGAGTAGCCCCGTTCCCCAGAGCTGAATAGGGGTAGCCACCCACCCCAGGAGACCTTAGGAGAATCACTGCAATTCACACCTCTGCAGGGACCGCCAGGAGCCCGTGGGGCTTGAGTTAAGAACTAGCTCTTACTTCTGTCAGGGTGGGATGGGAGGGGGTTAACTCATCTGTGACGAGCACAATACTGTCAACAAATAGACAAATGACTGAGTTTTTATAAGGAAGGGCTCATTTTTGACTTTTGACTGATACTGAGTGGAAAATAGAGGTCTCTTGGGTCAACTGCCAAGGCCGGAGCAACTGAGACAGGCCTCCTAACGGAGTCTTTGCAAAAACTCATCACTGCAGTTCGTGAACAAAGGTAATGATTGAGGCACAGGGGTTGGGCAGCACGTTGGACACACAAGATTCAACCTCAGGTTCAAACCCACTGTTAACAGGCATGGGGCTGGGTGGGCACCGCTACAGCCTGATAAGGAAGACACATGTCTGATACAGGTCATACTTCAAAAACGCTTTCTAAATACTGCAAAAAATTAAATATGGCAAACTGAGACAAAACAAAACCGTAAGTGTCTATTGCTTGGGGCCAATTTCAAGAGGAAATTTATATTTTTAAGGGAAAACAAACAAGAAAAATAGAGCACACTGTTATACCTCTTCCCATTTCCCATAAAACGTAAAAGACCTGATAAAATACTTAAAAGGAGAAACAGAATGAGTGTACTTTTCAGTACTCAGGTTTAATGGACATGGGAATTTTCAAATCGGTTTCTCCAGGATTAATGTCTTGTCAATAGTGGACATAATTCCCCCCCACATCACCATGGCAAACAAAAGATCTTCAGCACACTGTGTCTGACTCGACTCAAAAGATGCAAGACCTCGATGTACCTTCTAATAAACTATTATAAGTAGAACATGGTTTTGCAGACAAATCCCCCAACTTGCCCTCACAGGTTTGGAAGTTCAACAGATAGGCCCACAGCAAGATGAGAGAGCTCACGCCATCACCGAGGCCGGGACTACGGCAGGGACTCCGCAGGCAGCAGGGTGGCCAGAGGCTCTTCCACCCAGGCAGTGACAAACACCAGAGCACTCCTCAGCACACAGCAAAGAAGAGGGCCTCAGCCTGCATGCTGCCCAGTTGGGGGCTACCACCCCCTTTAGTTCTATTTAGTCTGACTTCACATGGACAAATAAAATAAAAGCTGGCGGCGAGAATCACAGTATAACAGAATATTAGCATTTCCGAGGGATACATCCCCAGACCTTCACACTCCTCAAGTTCACAGGCACCACTATGGTACAGCTGAAAAAACTAGGTCACGCTTTTATGTCCTGAGTGTTCACTGTGACAAGTAAAGGCATCAGAGAGCTGGGTGAGGAGGGAGGCTCTCCCACTAGCCAAGTGAGCTGCTCCCCCTCAAACATCTGCCTCAAAGAGCGCTTTTCACAGTCTTAGCAAAACTGCCAATTACTACGTGATATGGACTTTCCATTCTCCTGCAAAACTATAAATGCTGTGGCCTCTGTACAAATCGCTGGTCTACTGTGCAGTCCCCCTCCCTGGGCCAACTCGAACACACCTCTGAAGCAATGCTGGGATAAACAGGACTTCCCCAGATTTGAGATTTGAGTTGGGAGCTCATGAGTACCTGAAGCTATCTCTGAGGCAGGAGATAACGGTTACAGAAAATTCTGGAAACTTTTGTAACAACTAAGGCTCTGGAGCTTCTCAACATACTGATCCTAGTCATATATTCAATGTTTTTAGTCACATAAAAGTCTCCGGTTTGGTTTAAATACTTACATCATTTTCTAAAAAATTAAACATGCTTCTTTCAGCCAACTCCTTTGACTCTTCAAATTTTTCTACCGCTTGTCTGACTTCTTCGTCTGGTATCTTACCTACTCGCTTCTTTTTATAATCGTAATCCAGGCGGCGGCCTTCCAGCTTTTTCAGGTGGTGCTGAAAGAGACAAAGGTGTCCTTCAGAGAACCGCCACACTCAACACACAGCACAAAGAAGCCTTCGCTATTCCCACGAAAATAGGCACTGCTTTCTATCGGCCTCAATTCTAGGGGCAGAAACCCATCTTACATTTTTTTCGTGCACACTCAGCGTCTATTAGAGGCTCCCTTCACTGCAAGTCTTCGAGGAATATTTGTGGAATGAATGGATGGATGGATTACAGAATGAATGAGTGTCTATAGGGAGCATAAGGTCACAGTATCAGTACTCAGATTCCATTTTCCAAAGTTCTTTACTGAACCCCTCACTTCGGCTCTATTAATGTCCAGATAATTTCCAACCAAATTAACTATACCAAAAATAGGGACATTTCTTTTGGCACTGTTGTCAACTCCACACTAAGCAGATCATATAATTTATCAATTATAAATATTATAATTAACAATTATAAATATAAATATTAGAGCTGTCCATTCATGGAACGGGCTGCCACGTGTGGTAGTAAGTTCCCCATCACAATTTGTGTTCAAGTAAAGAGATTCCATGTCAGAAATACCACGGAGGGGATAACTGTACAGGGCAAAGGAGGGACCTCTAAGAGTCTATGATTGTAATCCTTGGAAAAGATATTTGATATAGAAAATGCATATGAAAGCTCGTCCCACTGAACTATGCAGGTAACTTCACTACTCATTTTAGTGGGAAGCACTGATGCTAATTTCCATAATGATTAGGTGAAAAGGGCATATGGAACAGAAGGTCAGGAGCATCTCTTTTATATGTTCTGTGACTCTGGGCAAGTCTCTAAATCCCTCTGTGCAGTTGTAACATGGGGACAAGAATGGCTAGCCTGGCTGCTTATGGGTGAAGAAATGTTTGTGAAAGCCCTCTGAATCCATAAGACCCTTTACAGATATGAGTCAGTAGTGTCTTAAATGGACAGGCTCTCCACTCCTATGTCCCAGGTACACAGAGCATCACTGAGACTGTGAAAGGCCTTCTGAATGTCAGACTCAACTCTTCATCATTACAGTCATGTGTCGCTTAACAACAGGGATACGTTCTGACAAACGTCGTTAGGCAATTTCGTCGTTGTGCGAACATCATAGAGTGTACTTACGCAAACCTAGGTAGTATAGCCTACTAACACCTAGGCTGTATGGTACTAATCTGATGGGACCACTATCACATATGTGGTCTGTCGTTGACTGAAACATCATTATGCGGTGCATGACTGTATATGATTTAAGTTTAGATTTATAAGTTTCTATATCAAATGGCAGCTGAATAACAAGAGATGCCATTTAGAAAATTATTTTGTTGCATAGGGAATTGCAACATTTAAGTATACGTGTATTTTGCACATTTCTCCCATCACTGCTCAGGATCCACAATTGTGTCCTCGGCTACCCTACTGAACCAAGTCAAGTAGAAGTGCAATGTCGCCCAGTGGACTCTTTGTGTGGCTTTCTTCACGGACAACAGCCCAAGAAGAAATGGCATATTATGTAATTCAGCAAAGCAGGTATGTGGTTTTAAGGCTCCACATTTGGAGAAGATGTTTTGGCATCCCCACAACCCAGAACATCACTTCTCTAGAATCATTCTTCCAATCATAATTTGTGAGCACAAACCACAGGCTGGGCATCCTGGCTACAAAAGTTAACAAAGCATGATTCCTTCCCCCAAGGCACTTACAGCTCAACAACAGAAAAAGAGAAGCAATGATGCTCACAGCACAGGGGAGCACAGACGGCGCACCTGATTAAGTTGGGGAGAGAACAAGAGCTTCCGGAAGGAAAGAATGTCTGAGCTGACAGCTGAGAGCTGAGATGACGTAGCCAGGAGAAGGGGGGAAGGGAGAAAGACAACAAACAGAGAGACAGCACAAAGCAACACGGCCCCTGGGACTGCAAGTAATTCAGTGAGGCTGGGCAGAGAGTTCACATGGGGAAGGGCTGAGCCATCAGGCCTAGAGGGAAGGAGGGGCCAGGGAATTAAGGGCTGCGGTATTGGATCTCTATCCCACTGTCAGTGGGCAGCTACCGAGGGTTTGTATCTTAGGAAGATTGCTCTGGCTGTGGTGTGCAGAATAGACTGGAGTCAAGGGCTGCTGTGTTAATGTGTTTAAATGTTAACAGGAAGAAGCCAGTAGATAGAAAGGGGAAGAATGGAGATACGGGGGAGAGGATGGCAGATGTGGCAAAGGCCCTGAGGAGGTGAGGGGTGATGGACCCTGGGGCCCAGCCGAGGCCTGGCCTGAGGGAGCAGGAGGAACACAGTTTTCCCTGGGATGGAAGGGAAAGAAGGCAACAAGGGTGAGGCGGTTGAAGGGAGTACGGGGAGAGGGGGAAGCATGATGTTCAGGGAGTTCCTGAATGGTGGCTTTCATGTTTAATTCAATCTTCCTGAATTCTCCTTCATACCCTTTGGTTTCAGTGTAAATTCTAAATGCCTATACAGGCATCCAGGACTTTCCATCTGGGAGGTCTAGAATAGCGCCCAAGAATTTGCATTTCTAACATGTGATGCTGATGCTGCTGGTCCAGGGACCACACTGCAAGAATCACTGCATCTGAAGAAAGGAAAAGCGGACATCCTCAAGGTTCAAATGACTTCTGAGCTGCCCAAAGAAGGTCTCAACGCAGGCTGTCCCTCCAGAGCCAAAGTCCCTGAGGGGGCAGAAGTTTCCAGGCTGTTTTTGCATATCTCCAAAAACACCACCAAGCAAGTGGCATGTGATTACCTACAGGTCCCTGAAAGTTCCCATCTGTGCTTTGGAAGGCCATTTTTAACAGTTTTCCAAATATAAGACGTTGATTCCTAGATACTGATTTCCTTGAGAAGTAACAGAAAATAATGACCACTAGCTCAAAATATCAAAAGATGCAACTAATACGGTATGATTTTGATTATCAAAAAATCCACTACAAAGTTATAGAATCATTTTGCTATGTGAGAAATGGCTGTGGAAATATATATCTTTAGCTTGGTTTCTAGCTGGCTTCAGTAAGATGCAGAATGAAAGGGTAATTGATCCTGGTATTCCTTCCCAGTGAGCCAGATAAACATAACTGAGTTATTTCACTGCCCACAATAAGAGGATGCTTTCACTGAGTCCCTAAAGAAATGTCCTAATGATTTTAAATAGAAACATCATTTTAAGTAGCAACAGGTAGATTTATAGCCTAGCAAACTTACCCAAATCTCTTTTAAATCTTTGTCTTGTAGTAACTGAAGTGGATCAATAAAAGTTTGTTTTACATTAATATCAAGAGAGTCCTTCACCTCGGCCATTAGCTTCATGGATTCACCAACTTCTATCAGTGCATTGCCTTGAATAGAAAATATAAATTAAAAAGGTTCTTTAGCAGAGTACTCTAGGTTAACAGTGATATTCATCTAATTCTTTCCTGAAAGTTTGAGGATGATCAATGGCGTGTAACAAGGTCCTTGTTCTGGGACCTTTGAATCTTGACTCAGAAAAAAACAAACGCAGAACGTCTTTCTGTTTTCCACATTTTCCTCTCTACATTCTGCACTTTCCCACGACATAAAAGAAAACTCTGAGGCGAAGACAAACCAAGGCACTTACCAAACTGGCCACTAGATGGGGGTAAAGTTCCTTTTTTTAAAACGGTACTTTTGTGAACTGGTACCAAAGGTTCCTTAGAAGCTCAAAAACAAGATCCCTCTTTGTAAACAATAAAAGGACTCGTTCATCAGGGGCTAAGTATTGACCAATAAATATTACAATAGAAATAAATGAACAAAACCTCATCTCAGCTTGCTAGATCTTCTTGAGGTTACTCCTTGTATATCCTTTCTGATGTCAAAGAAAGCTTGGCAGTGTCACAAAGGACAGCCTTTCAGCAAGGTGGGCAGGGTCTGCTCTTGCCATGAGGCCTGGGGCAGCCATGCTGGGTGTGGGCAGCCATGGGCAGCTTTGCTGGATCACACCTTGGTATCTTGGTGCCAGCTAATCCATCATAATTTGCAAGCGGGGGTCCTGGTAGCTGTGCACAGTGAGGGTTGCAGGTTCTCTAGAAGCCATCTCTGGGAAATGCTGTACTGGCCTGAACTATTTTTCCTGTACCTGGCATCTTCCAAATTGATCTTGATAAGGTAGAGCTTGGGGTCTCTGAATCTCAGGCTTGAAGACCTGAGAGCCAAGCCCAAGAATCTACCTTTCTAACAAATTCTGACCTTCAAGTTTTTTCACCCTCGAGTCAAGGGCATGCACAGTAAAACATTTATTCACCAGTAAAACAGGGATAGTTGTTATCACCCCACTTCACTTTTTTTTTAAAGAAGTAAACTAGATAGGGTATGTTATAGGACGTTGTAAAATATAAGTGGAAACTATTACTCTAAACCACAGCTGGCCCCATGGGACTCCCTTTTGGCCCACTGGTAGCTTCATCCCCCCTAGAAGGCTGTTCCTTAACTAACTCCCCAGAATCTGGTTATAAATCGTTCTGAGATGGAGATGGGGCATCCTTTCCTAGCCTGGAGATTCTTTCCTGCACAACTGGTCAGAAAAGGAGGGTGTTACTTCTGATCCCACCACTTACTCTGCCCACGCCCCAGAATGTCAATTAATTCAGCTTTGACAGAAACATTTCCAAGCACATCTCTTTGAAGACGCCAAAGATGACATTCTGAATAGTAGCCGTCACCTCCACGGACTTGACATTCCCTCTCCTTGCCCAGGACGAACGCTTCCAGTTCCACGAGGAGTGGGGCTCAGCCTCCACCCACTGAGGTCTCTGCACTTCAGGAAGCTTCCACCATGTAGCCCCCAGAGGAAAGCATCCTACAGTACAGCCTCTTCCTCGGAACAGCGAGTGACCCACATGTTCCTGATGCCCTCCTGATGCCAGCTCTCTTCCTTAACACAAGGTCCCTTAAGTTGCTGGGCAACTAGGAAGCAGCCAAATTGTCTGCCCATCAAAGCCCCTGCCCGGGCACCGTCACCAGGCACACTGCAGGACCATCCTTGGACGTCAGGGCCTGCCTGGCAGTCTCACCTGTTCCTTCAACCTGTCTGCCTTCAGGATAAGACACAGGCCATCTTGTCCCCCTTCGCCCATGGAATAAAATAAAATTCTCATTACACTGCTCTGAAGGATACTGTCACCCTCTGTGACTAATTAATGTTTTAACAATCGGGATTTTTCTTTTTAAGTTTTCAGAAGATTTTCCCCCCAATTTCCTTAATGAATTACTATGGCCAAATATCTGAATTATCAATTTCCATAACCTGCCTTGGTACCTCTACATGAATAGCACACATGCCAAATTCTCCTAGAAGACTTAACATATCAAATTCAATTTACTTCCAATTTAATTTATTAATTTAAAGTAATCTCAATCAAAATTTGATGAGTTTTTTTGGTTTTTAATAGAAGGGACTTCAAATGACTCCAAGTTTCATCTGGAAAAATAAAACAGGCAAGTATGTCCAAGAAATTTTTACAGTATCTAGGGGAAATTTTAGTTAAATATATGCAAATATATTTTTAAATGACAATACTTACAACATGACACTTGACCAAAACAGGGTCCAGGTCAAGAAAACAGAAGAGAAAGACCAGAAACAAACGTGAAATATAAAAATATTATAACAGAAAGGTTATCTCAAATCAGCAGAGAAAGGATGAACTTTTCAATAAAGTGTTAGGACAACTAGCTGTTTATTTGTGAGAAAATTAGAACCCTATTCACAATATTCACCCATTAAACTTAGCAGCTTGGAAATTTAAAGTTAAGAAAAGAAAACATGTACCAAAAGAAAGTATAAATAAACATTTACACAGTTAGTGGGGGTTGGTGGGGTGGTGGGGGGCATAAGTTTTTCAAAACATGATGCCAAACTCATAAACCTGAAGGAAGACTGATGAGCTTAAAAATCAAAAATCTTTCTCCATTACAATGACCTCCATCTAAGAGGTCAGAAAGTAAACGCCTATGTGGGGCAAAACTTCAATATATAAGGCAGACAAAGAGCAAATATCCTGACCATTGAAAGAGTTCATAAAGTAATAAGCTCATGAATAGTAAGTAAGGAAAAAGAATGGAGACCTTAATGGGAAAATAGGCAAAGGACTCTAACATACAAATCACAAAAATGATGACAAACATAAAAAAACTACCTCACATATAATCCAAAAAGTGAAGTTAAAACACTACTGAGATACCATTTTTCATATGCTACATATCAAATTATCAGTTGTTTAAAAGTAAACTAAAAAGATAATTCCCAGAGTTAGTAATTGTGCTGGAAAATATACTCTCATACACTCCTGGCAGGATTGTCAAATTGGTATAACCTTCCTGGAGGGCCATTTGGAAATATGTTGCAAAAACCTGAAAAATAGGCATACAGTGACTCAGCAATTTCACTAGTAGGAATTTCATGTAAGTACATAATCTTGGATATCTCCAAAGATTTACTGATGAGAATGGTTATTATAAATGCTATGTTAAATATTTTTACATAAAGAAAAAAATCTAAATATCCAGTAAATGAAATTGGTTGAACAAACTATGATACATGGAATATCATGCAGCCTTTAAAAACAATACTGTAGAAGATTTATTATTTTATGTCATGGATCATGATATAGTAAGTGGGAATACACAGATTATAAAAGGGTATAAGGGTATATATACTATAACTCCATTTTAATTTTTTAAAAGTGTATGTGAATGTATACAAGAATAAACAAAAGGTATGAAGGATATACAACAAACAGTATTTGGGCCCATCACTGGGTACATGATTATGGGTGATGTTGGCATTTTCCTTTATTTCACTTGCTTATGTTTTCTAAACTCCCTGCAATGAACATGTATGACTTTGGTAATATGAAAAAATAATAATGGTTGTGAAAATGAAGGTTTTGTACATAATCTAAAAGCAAGAGAGGAGGCATTCTCAGCTCTCCAGGTGATTTGTGAACTCACCAAAGGTGGAGCCTTCCCCCAGCTCCTTCCCGTATTTCAGCATACAGTCGCCCAGCAAGCCTTCCGTCTGCGGGTATCCAGTGGTTTTCACCTGTCCTCGGATCTTCGACACAGTGTTCAGCATTCCTAGTTTAGCTCTGTATGCTTAAAAACATTGTCATTTGTAATTCCTTAAAGTGACAAGGTGGAGTGACAGGTACACAGCACTTAACAAACACGGCTGGCGAAATGGAGATCACCCTGGACAAAATGCGGGAGATCTGAGGCATAAAAGGACCATGTGAGACCTATTTCATTTCTCATATGATTTTCTAGATTCTTTACCAAAATGGGTGCTAAGCGCACTGTTTGCACAGCCATGATGGAAAACAGAAATTACGCACATGCTCCATTATATGACTCCAAATGATAGTAACCGGGGCTATCACAACCCCACCCACAGAGTGAGACACTTTAGAAGGCCCGCAAGGCTAACACGCTGAGTCAGACACTGACACCTGGGCAGACGATTTTTCTTGCGGACCAACTGTAAACTAAGAATAGATTTGCTGAGGTGGATGTTTCAAACTACCAACTGGTCATTAACACCCTCCCTGCCCCCCAGGATTTATTCAGACCGATTATATTCAATATTCTGATGGAGGGCTGCTGCACACTCCTGTTGGGAAGCAGAACCAACGGGAGGGGACAGATCCCCTCACAGTGAACACGAGTCTATGCTGCTGGTCCCTCAAGCGCTGCCCATCACTTCCCTGGTCCCTAGGGAAGTGATGGGCAGCCACTGCTTCTGACCTTCTTTTCTCTAATTTAGGCAATAAGTGTTTACTAATCCTGGCTCTTTGTGACATACCACACTAATTACTGGCACTCCAGAGAGACCTAAGACAGCACCTGCCCTCCAGAAGCCCACAGTCTAGTTACTGGAAGGCAGAATACACAAGATATAATTATGCAAATAAAGTTTGGTGTGGTGCAGGGAAAGGAAGATATAACAATACGCTGAATAAAGATGGAAAGATGCCCCTAAAAAGTGCAGAAATAGTGTCAGTAAGGTGTAGAAGATGGAATGCTTATGGTATATAACCAACAGATAAAGAGCAGGCTGGTTTGATCCAAGAAGAAATTAACACAGGACAAATCAGGAGATATCTATGGGAAAACATGACTATGAATGGAACACCAAGCTAGGGATTTGGGATTTCATTCCACAGGCTATAGAGTGAATCATTTACTTAGTTCGTGCTATTTGAGATAAGTTTAGGTAGGAAAGGGATAAACTTTTATTTTCTTTTACTTTAATAATTGCATATTTATTTTAATGAACTCTAGACCAATGCTTCTCAAACTGTAATGTTCATGCAAATCATCCAAGGATCCTCTTAAGATGTCGAGTTTGATTCAGTCAGTCTAGGATGAGCCCAAGATTCTGCATTTCCCACAGTCTCTCAGAGGATGCTCATCCTGCTAGTCCGTGGACCACACTTTGAGTAGCGAGGCTTTAGACACTCATAGTGCCAGCCTTTTTGAATCTTGCCCACTTCAGCCTCAAAGCACTTATCCTCCTGGTCCCCAGACATACAGTCTTCACTCCCTCACCACACACACACACATACACTCACATGAACACACACACACTCTCTCCTCTTTCAGGAGTGTGATGTGAGATGCAGCAGGCCTATGAGTGAGGGCCTTTAAAGTGGATTAGAGGCTGCTATGCCTCACTTCCTCTTCTCCAGGAATAACCAGAGGCCTCTGACCAGTTGGACACTTTCATTGTTGGCCAACACCTCCCTACCCCATTCCAATGTCAGCTCTCTGAAGACGGGGTCTCAGTTCAACTTACAGTATATCCCCGACCCAGGAAAGCCCCTGGCCTAGAGGAAGCACTTGCTGAATGAGTGTTGACTGATTTATCAGGAAAAGGAACTTGTGTGGTCCATCTCAATCACTGAGGAGGCCAGAGAAGAGATATACTATTATGGTTTTTGAAACTATAATCATCTATACAATTCTACAGAATTCTACACCGACCATCCTCCCTTGAGATAATATTTTGCAAATTTTATGTTTTTCAATTTTTGCTTTCTAGATTTGCTTTCTAGATTTTGTGATTCTGTGCTGATTCCTACAGCCAAGGGACTCACAGTAACAAACCGCAAATAATAAATTCCTAAAAAATAAAGGCAGTTTTGGAAATCTACAGAATTCAAGGCTTGGACGCCCTCTATTGGTTTCTATAATTTACAACCAAGGAACACCTCGTCGAGGGATGCTGCTTCCATCCTGGGAATTAAAGACCTCCTCCCGAGAGGCTGACGCAACCCTGGACCTTCTCATGTTGTTTTTCATATATTCATCATGCCTCATTTCTTCAGCATTTGAGCCATGAAGTGAAAGCCATTTCAAATTAATATACACCTTTAGAACAGGACGGCAGAAATTTAAAAAATTTTAAAAAGAGGAAATGATTGAATAAGCAAATATCTACGAAATGTTTAGTAGGTTTCTGAAGCATCTCATAACAAACATCTGTGCTTAGCAGTACTGTGCTGCTCAGAGCAAGACTCCACCCAAAGGACGTCACCACAGCTCACAGGAGTGTCTGCCCTGTTTCTCCTCAGCTAGGGTTCACTGGGACTACCCTTAGTTGCTGGAGACTCTACTTTAGGGAACTGAATTTTCATTATCTGGACAAGAACACATTGTTTCTAGACCATGTCAACCATATGCCAACCAAACATGGGTTATTAGAGTCAGTGACAGCAAATGAACAATAGAATATTTCATGACATTTTCTAACTTTACCTGGATTTGGCTGAAGATATTCTGTGGCTTTTGAAAGAATTTCTGCAACAGCTTTATTGGTCACATCTATTTTCTTAAAAAAAAAAAAACACACATAAAAATCTTGGTAAATGACCAACTCAATGAATTCACAGAAAAACAGAGAAGTAATTTTCATTAACTTAATACCTATAACACCATTATAATGATTTTAATTCAACTGAATGTTTTCAACAATATTTGTTTTCAGGCAATATTTTCTCACTTTTTGGGACATTACCTCCTCCCAATGATGTTGGAGAACACGAATTTCTTTTTCCTCTTAACATTAAAATGAATATTAATATTTCGAAAATTTGGAAAAGTTATTATGGGATATCCTTGAAGGTCTCTCAAAACCAAGACTAGACACTTCTGAGCCAAACTTTCCTTATCTGCTGGGTAAACTTGAATTTCTGTACTTATATAAGGATGCTGTAATAATGATTCATATGAGAAACTACCTCAGTAAATCAACACTAAAAGAATCATCATCACTAGTATTATAACTAAAATAAACATTCATTTGTTGTGTGGGCAGGAGATGTTAACACCAAAGATTTCCTTGCCAGGTTAGGACTGAATCTTTCCTTCCACAAAACCATTCCTGGATGCTCGGGCTGTTGGTTAACCAGAGAATGAATTGAGAAATATACAATGAAGTTAAATATGCACACTTCAATAGCTTTATTTTATACCATCAATAGCCCAAAAGAAAACGTAAAGGAACAGGAGATCCCATTCACAAGGGCAATAAGAAAATATGTAATAATAAGGAATAAATACTATGAGAAATGCACAATACCTATTTGCAAAGCCACACTCCTAGATGGGAAAATTCAATTTGGAAAGATGTAAATCCTCCCCAAATTAACATGTCAAATTAATTCAAACCTCATCACAATGTTAATTTTCTTGTTAAAATTTGGCAAATCAATAATAAAGTTAGATTCTTATTTCACACCACAGAGATTAAAAATATGGACCTAAAAACAAACTGCAAAAGTACTAAATTATACAGGAGAATATTTTAAAATACTGGGCTGGGAAAGATTTTCCAAGCATGACCCAAAACCCAAACATCATAAATGAAAAGACCAAAAATCTGACTCCATTAAATTAAAAGCTGAATAGTAGGAAGGCACAATACATGATGTTTGACAAAAGTGGCAGACAGACAGAAAAATGTCTAAAAGACAAAGGGCTAGTATCCATAATATTTAGAACTCCCATTAAAAACAAACAAAAAAAAGGCAACCCAACTAGAAGGAAGGCCAAGAACACAAACTGGCAGTCCACAAAAGAGCAGAAATGCAAGTTGCCTACAAACATTTGGCAAAATATTCAGAAAAATTGTAAATTAAAAGGAGATACTTTCCACTTACCAGATTAACAAAACGTTTTTTAATTGATTATACCCAATATTAGGTATTATACGGGTGTGGAATAATGGGCTTTTCATATACAACAGGAGTGCAAAATGACACAACGTTTTGGAAATTGAGGTGGAAGTACCTATTAACGGGAATATTAACGTCCCAGCTGTCATACTTCTAGGGATTTATCACCTAGAAACACACCAGCAAATTGCAGTGATGTAAAAAGATGTTTGTTAGATCCTGTCATTTAGTATTAAAAATGGAAAACAACCTAAATTACAATCAATAGGAGACTGACAATAAAACTGTGAAACATGCAAATAAAGGAATACTCTTTAGTCACAAGGAAAAAAAATAAAGAAGATCTATATGTACTGGGAAGATGCCCACAGTGCAATGCTAAGGAAAAAATCAAGCTGCAGACTGATTTATAATACAAAACATTTCATTTTTGTAATTTAAAAAACTATGATCTGGTCAGTCAGAAGCTTTCACCAAGCCTGAAATTGCATTTGTTCCCCTTAGCTGAATGTCTAAATTCGGGGCCCCAGGAAGTTTACAAAGACAGTACATAAATGACAAAGAAATGAATCAAACCTATGCTACTGATGCAGGTGTGCTGGCTGTGTGCGTGAGTGCGGGTGTGTGGATGTGCATTTGGCCTACAAACAAGTTTTGTAAACTTTGAACTCTCCTCAATACGTGCAGTCGTTTATGAAGATCTTTGAAATGTTTAAGAGAATTTGATAACAAATGTTTATGCTTTATTAGACTTACAAGAAATGTAAGTGCTTAGGAAAATCCTGTTTTATTTTATTTATTGTCATTTCATTTTTGCTATTTTTATTATTATTAAAGGTTATAACACATTATGGTATGAGACTTGGCAATAACTAACTATTACCCAGGATGAATTGAGTTAGAGTTATAACAGATGCTATAAGAGAAGCGTAATGCTGACTGAGGGACGGAGAAAGAAGCTTGCAAGAAGACTTGTTGTTAGGGTGAAGAGTGCCCTCGGTTAAGAATAAGACGAATGGATTTGAGTCCTGAGTCTGCAACTGCCAGTCTGGTTGACTTGGCTACAGCACTTTCAACTCTTCGAGCCTCATTTTTTCCCTTAGTAAAAAGGAGGTCATATCCTCACCATGCTCCACTCTTCGTGCTGCTGTGAGGCTTGCCTGGGACAGCACTGGTGGAATTGCTGGGCTCCCTATTCACTTCCCTGGACTCTTCTGGAGGCAGAGCCCCATAGGCTGGCTCCTGTCAACTCTGATGAAAATCCTGTTTTAGATTTGATGTGAAGTTAAGGGGAATCCTATTTTATAATGATAGCTTGAAAAGTCTAAGGCAATTTCCTTGCTTATGTAACCGGTGGTAAAAATTTTAGGATTTCATCTGTTAAGCTTATGACTTAATGGAACCTAAAATGAAGATTAACTAACTAAAAATGATCATCATTTTTATAAGAAAATTAATAAATTTATAAACAAGATCCATAAGGTCAACTTAAAGCTTAAGAACAACTAGGTTTTAGATTTATGACTTTAATAAATTCAATATTAATTAAAACATAACTCAGAATGTTCCATTCCAAGTATACAAACTTCTTTGGACACAAAAAGCCACCAGGAAGCCAGGAGTCATCTCTGAAGGGTGACGATGACAGGAGGTGGAGGAGGGGATACTTTCTACTTAGACCCTTCTATATCTTTTGGGGAAAAAAAGCCAAGAAACAAAAGCCAAAACTCACAGGGCCTGATGTGCACACTGGAGCTGCTTCCAGAACAGCCCAGGAACCAAAACTGGGAACAAACTCTTTACAAGTTAAAGAGGATGCCCACTAAACATGTTGGCAAAAATGGGCAGTCAAGATGCATATTGAAAAAATAACTCATGTAGTTTAAAAACAAAACCTCCCTCCTAGAATAACAGGGGATATTGTGAGGTAAGTGTGTGTGTGTGTGTGTGTGTGTGTGTGTGTATGTTTGTGTGTCAAGTTAACAAAAGCTATGCAAATATCTGGGCAAACCATCAGGAAAAATAGAGGAAAGTAGGGAGGTGAGAATTACTTTTGTAATGTCTAGCTGGTATGACAGCATCTTTGTCAGTTGACTAAATCTGGGATTTCCATCCAGTGTTGGCACTCTACCCCTCAGGTGCCCCAAAGCAGGACCTCAGCCCCTGAGCTGGAGATCTGCTGGCAGCCCTGGTTTCTGATGGTTGTCTACAGTATTCTCTTTAAAAAAATTTTTTTAAACAAATCCATATCTCTCATTATATCTTTCTTATTCCTCATGTAACTTATTGGTGTTTTCCCTTTTCTCTTTCTTCGTCACACTTGGTAGAAGTGGCTTTTCGAAAAAACAGCGCCTGGTTTTATTTATTGATTCTACCTTTTTGTTGTTATTGTTTTCTATTTTATTAACCTCTCATTTATCTGTATTGATTTCTTCCTTCCACCTCGAGTGATTCAATTTGTTGTTATTTTCCTAGCTTCTTGGCTTGAATGATTTATTCATTTTCTTTCCATATTTATTTTCTATTAAGTGCATTTAAGATTTAACCATATCTCTCAGGTTTTGACATACAAAATTCTCTCTCATGATTAAACGATCTTTAATTTTACTTTTCATTTCCTCTTTCAACTAAGAATTAATTTGACATGTTTTTAAATTTCCAAACACCAAAATTTGGAAGCTATACTTTCCCTGTAATCTTTGTGTTCTATGACTTTACCTTGGGAAATATATTGAGTTTTTTCTATAGCCTAGTATATGACTGATTGTTGTAATTGTTCTAAAAGAATTCAAAAAGAATATGAATTCTCACTTTGAGGAATGCAGATGTCTATATATACTTATAACCAAAGTCATTAATTATATTTCATGCAAATCCTCCATGAGCCTATCTGTCATTGCCAATTTAGTCTGCTATTTTATGAAAGACGTATGTGAAATTTCTACTCTGATTTTTGTCAGTTCTCCGTGTATTTCTGACAGCTTTTACCTCACATATTTAGATGCCTTGTTATGTGGTGCATAATGGTTCATAACTTGCAATTTCCTGATATGCTACATGACTGTATCTTTCTATAATTTTTTTAAATCGTCTTTTTCCATTTAGTGTTTTTTTTGCATCAGATTTTACTTTGACGTCACTATTGCTTCTCCACCTTTGTGTGGTTAGCATTTGTCATGCAGGATCTTTCTGCATTCCTCTGTCATTTCTGTGTCAGGGTTTAGGTGGGTCGATACCATCTAATTCAGCTCTTCCAGAAAGTTCTTAAAACTTCTTGTCACATATTAAATATTTCCACGCTTTTCATTGCTGTAATGAAACAGATAATAGATCTTATTTTTATATTTCTTCTGTCACTCACTGGGATTTTTGGGGGGAAAGGAAGTAAATAAGAGGGATCTCAGTCCATCAACTGAAACTAAAATTCCTGAAAAGTGCTTTTAAATTTAACATTTCAACTGAGTCGTTTTGTTAGTAAGAAAGTTACACGTAATATCTTTATATATCAAGAGATTTTTAAAAGTAATTTCAGGTATGCCAATCATGTTAAAATGTTTCTATGTTTACAGAAATTAACTTTTTTCAAAAGCAAAACAAAATAAGCTTTCCCATCAAGGCATTAGCATTTCTAAAAACCTAACAGCTCTGATCCAGAAACCAGAGTTCTCCCTGGAGGATAGTGTGGCCAGGGCCAGATTATCCTAAAGAGAGTAACTCCCCAAGGCACAGCCTGGGGCTGGACCTTGCCCAGCATCTGCTGACAGCCCTACTACCTGCTATATCCTGTATCCTCAAGGGTACACCTGAGGGTAGATGCTTTGCTTTCTCTCTGCCCTCTCTCAGCTGGGGAGTCTATTAAAACGAGGCTACGTTTAAAGGGCTCAAGACAAAGGGAAGGAAACTGAGAAAGCTGTTAATTACTGGTGGGCCCAGTTCTGCTTCCACCTAAGGCAGTCCATGTATCTGACCAGGAGACATACGGGACGGAGAATCTACAATCTTCCTTTGGAATGTTTTAACAATCATTTCTATAACAAGCTCAGCATATTTTTCTAAATGCTTCCATACATATTAGTTTTCTGCATAATTCTCACAACATTCATGTGAGGCAAGCAGGCCACACGTTATCATCCTTGTGTCACAGGTCAGAAAAGATGAAATAGATGATCCAAGTTCACACAGCTGGTTCTAGTGGCAGAACCAGGATAAAAGTTACTTGTTGTGCAGCTGCTGCAGCACATGGGAGCAGAGTCAGAGTCTTCCACACAGTGAATCAATATTTATATATTGAAGGGTCTCGTCCCAGAAACACATTTTGACTCTCCAAGATATATAATCACAATTATTTGGCCTTTATAACTGTTTGCTGAGATGGACCATCTTTTGAGCATTTCTGACTTTTTCCCACTAGAGGGAACCAGTTAGCCACATCCCATCTTCATGATCAAGAGTCTTGAACCAGGCTTGGAAGTGTGAAAGAATTGCCTTTTGGATTCCATAATCCACGTCCGTATGCAAACATCCTGGATCCCCACTCTAATATCCTTCACAATATCCGTATATCTCACATCACAACAAAAGTCAGTTTGTAATACAATTTACATTAAAATGCTCTCTTACCCTCTCCATGTCAAGAAATTCGTCATCTAGTTTCGTTCCTTCAACACCACTTATTTTTTCACTAAATAGCTGCAGAAATAAACACAAGTAATTACATTGTACAATGATTTGTTATCACAGTTTGTGACCTAAATTATTACAAACAAAACAAAAAAAGCTTGGATTTGGCTTGTTGGATTTTTTTGGACTAAGTCCTTTAAGAAAATTGTTGGAAGGAGTAACCCTATCTACGGACATAGGAAGAGGTACATTTCTCACTCACTCAACAGATACTTATTATGCACCTACTATATATAAAGCATATGGTAGGTGCTGTAGGAGAAACGAAGATAAATGAGATAGGGTCCTTGTCATCCAGGAAAGCAGAGTTCAGCAAAAGAGTTAATACACAAACAGTCAACTAAAATGCAAGGGAAGTACAATAAGAACAATAAAACATAATAGTACTGGATACAAATTATTGTAAACATACTAAGTGATGGGCATCTCAGTGATTCACAGAAAGGATTCTGTGAGCCTACAGTGTCGGGGGTAGGGGTGGGGATCATGCAGGATCTGTTTCCTAGAAGGCTTGGCATTTGAGCTGGGTTTTTAAGGACAGAGAACATTTCAACAGCCAGCACTGAAGGAAAGGCCTTCCAGCATGAGGCAGCATGAAAAAAGACGCAGAGACAACCCCAACGTATGTAGGGCAGGGCCTCTCCACCTTGGCACTTGGATATTTAGATCAGATAATTCTTTGTTGTGAGGGGCCGTCCTGTGCACTGTAGGATGTTTAACAGCATCCCTGGCTCTACCCAGTGGCACAGACACCCACATTGTGACAACCAAAAATGTCTCCAGACAGTTAAGAACCACTGCTGTAGGGCAAATGTGCTCAAGAAACAGCAAGAAACTTGGTTTGACTGTGATGAATAGTGCTTGAGGGAGAAGGGAGGAAAACAAAAGCTGAAAGGAAGGCGGAGGCCAAATCACAGAGACTCTCAAATGCCAAAGTAAAGAGTGTGATGGAGAAGTCCCTAAAGATTCTTCAGCAAACGCAGGGCAGTGGGACAAGCTTTCAGACAAGCAGCTCAGGCTCCAGTGTGGGTTCGATTAGAGAATAAGGAGAATGGACTGGAACTAGAAAATACATTAAATCACTTTCTTTAGAAAAGCACATCAGTACAATTTCTTTATAGCTTTAAAATATTTCCATGAATATAAAAATCAGTAGTAAAGGGGGGTGGGTACCATCAGTTTACGGTAAAATGATTGCAGGCTATTTTAAATGTAAGTGTGGTTTTCTGCTACTATTTACACTACTATTGTTACACACACAGTATTAATATATAGTAGGAGGAATATAAATCAGACAGCATTTAACTTAAATTTGAGGTGTGAGAAGGAATTACTTGGAGACAGAAGACAGGAAAGATTACAGAACTGGCCACGATTCTCCGTCTCCCCTATGGAGTCCCTATCTACGTCTCTGCAGTCCCTCCTGGCCAGAGTTGGAGTCTATATCCCCCCGAGTGAATCTGGGCTGGGCTTGTGACTTGTTTTGATCCACTGAAACAAGCCTAGGCCTTAAGAGATCTTGCGTGCTTTCATTCTCTTGAAACTCTGCTGCCACCATGTGAACAAGCAGAGGCTAATTTGCTGGGTGGTGGGAGACAAGTGGCCCAAACATCCCCGTCAGGACGACCAGCCCACCCCCAGAATCAGAGCCCCTGGCTGACCTGCAGCTGACTGCAGACACAGAAGAGCCCAGCTAAGGTCAGCCTCATCTGCTGACCCAGGGAAACGAGGCAAATCAATGGTGGCTGTTTCAGACCACTAAATGTCAGAGTGCTTTCTTACTCAAGAGATGCTAACTGATACACTAGACAGCAGCTCCTGTTTTTCAAGCTCAGTATAGAAGTCAGATACACAGATATGCAACACAGCACCTAAGAACAACAGCAACAATAAATGTCAGAGAGGACTATCCTAATGCAAACAAATGTATCCATTATGTCCCCCAAATACCTTTTTGTTCAGTAGTGGAATCACTTAAAATATTGGTTCTTAACTTTGGAGTTAATATTCTGGGACTCTAATAAAAGTTACACAACCACTCCCCAGGAAAAACACATATTGTTGCAGAGTAGATTGCAAAAATGGCCACAATACTTTGCAGCTCCTCCCATTAAGAAGAGATGTCTCTTTCTCCACCCTGACTCACTTTGGTCAACAGAATAGAAATGTAAGCAACACCATGTGAATACTGAGTTTAATTTATAGCTATAAAGAGGCTTTGTAAATAATTTTGCTCACTCTCTGAGGTCCACTGTAACCATCTCGCCATGAATAAGCCTGAGCTAGCTTGTTGGAGAATGAAAAACCACTCGGAGCAGAGATAACCCTTGGCAGCTGACCATCAACTGGTGAGTGAGCCTGAGCCCAGCTGAACTCAGCCAGACCAAGAGTCCCACCCAGTAGATCCCAGGTCACAGAACTGTGAATTAAATAAATGGCTTTTGTTTTAAGTCACTATGTTTTGGGGTAGTCTGTTATAGAGCAAAAGCTGACTGATACAGTTGCCTGGAACTTCAGAAGACTTCTAGAACCACAGAAGCCCATGCATAAATCTCTATTTTAAAATATCCATTTGAAAATCCCTTTAGCACTGAGAATCGGACCTAAAATCTCCTTAATCTGAATCAGTTTTCACTGGTTCAAGTTACACTCAGAAAGTAGGAGGAGGAGTGTTCCCATTTTCAAGAGCAGAAACTAGTGAGATTAATTCCTTCCTTGTCTGAAAAGAGACAACAACATGGAATCGTTTTCACAGGTAAGAATCATGATCATTCTTCTGCTTTTCCTGAATTCCCAGGTGGGGAATGTTCAGCTGTTTTGCGACAGTAAGTATAAATATACATGTGGCATTAGCTCTTTAGACCACTTGATGATATTTGTTGAGCATCTACTATGCGCAGCGTACCGTGAAGGGTACGTGGGACATAAAGATGAAACAGATAGATATGATCCCTACAGGGCTCCCAACCTCATTCCAGAGTTACAGAAAGTGCAGCCCCACTTCTTTTCAGTGTTGGAAACTGTATGTAAATACTCAAGCTTCTATTGCTGGTCAAAATGACTAGGTAAATTCAACTCTAACACACTCCCTATGCTCTGAATACATAGCAATGACAGATTAACAACAACAACAACAACAAATAGAAAGATAAGCAATGCTTAAAAACAGAATGAACGGTTTTTTCTGGAACAGAAACAACGTGGTGAGCAGGGTTGAAGCCTCGGTCTTGCTGGGCTTCTTGTCTGTCGCAGGCTCTGGCAGGAGCAGTCTAGTTCCCATTGGGTAAAAAGGGATCAGAAAGTGCCCCATGAGACAAGAGCCTGGAATCAAGCTCTGCTTAAAGCCAGGATATTGGAAGAAAACGGAGGCTGGAAAAAATATCCAGATGCAAACCACTGTCTAAGGTTAGCATGTTTGGCAATCTGCAAGCCCAGGGAGACCAGAGGGCAAAGAACCATTCAAGTTACCTCCCAGCTCTGTGGCTAGATCAAGATATCCCCAATATCAGCACGGGAGAGAAACTACCATTCAGCACTGGAGCCTTGGGAAGCCAAGTGGAAAAAAATCACAACCACTAGATAGAAGTGAGCACAGAGGGGTTAAAAGTGACAAGAAGACACCCTCCCCAATGAAAATTAAGCCTAGAAATCTAAATTCTAAGGCACATGAATAAATATAACACCAAGAAAGATAGCCAACAAAATCACAGATCACAACATGAATTCACTTCTGGTAAAAATACACAATCAGGGAAAGAACTAGTAAACTAGAAAATATTACTAAGGAACTTACCCAAAGAACAAAAATCTAAAAGGACAAAGAGTTTTATTTTTAAAAAATATGAAATATCAGATAATCAATATGGAAGATAAGTGAGGCTCCAAGATATACCTGGATAGGTACTCCAGAAAGGACAGAATATAGGAGAGTCAATAGCTCTTTTTTTCCTACAATTGAAGGAAGGTAGGAGTCCACAGTTCGGAAGTACACTCAAATACTAAGCAAGATAAATATTAATTCACACCTAGACACATCAAGATGTCAAGAATAAAAAATTCTAAGACCACCATGGGGGGGAACAACCAAAGCAACAATAAGACTGACAGCAGATTTCTCTTCAGCAACAGCATATACCAGGAGACAATGAAGGATCAGCTTCAACGTGCTGAGAAGAAATAAGTGAAAATCTAAATTTCATGTCTTCCTAAACTGTTGTTTAAGAAAGAGAACAAAATAAAGACACATTCAGACCATCATAGTTGCTAATAAAGTAATGCTAAAGTACTTCATCAAGGAAATAAAAATAGAACCAAGATGGAAGATATGGATCACAAGAAACAGTAGGATAGAAATTGATAAACTATGATGGTAAATTTAACTATTGACTAAAAACAAACAAGCAAAAACAAATATGTAAGTTTATAAAAAGGTAAAACTAAAACTGTAAACAATAATAAGATAGGGAGCATGATGGGTGTTCAGTGGATATTTTGAGCCACTAAGGTTCTTCTGTATTCAGGAGGAGGTGGGAAATGGGCATAACTGTAGACATTTTTCAAATAATGTTTAAGAAGTATCTGTTCTGTATAATTAGTGGTAACCATGAAAAGCATAAATCAATAATATACATATAGTACAATGTAGGCTATATAACACAGTATCCATACCAGCACATTACTGGAAAATCAATGTTTCCCAATCCAAAAGAAAACAAGGAAAAAGGATGTGGGGAGAACATACTGGATGACAAATGGAAACCACAAAATAAAATAGGAATAATAAGTCCAAATAGATCAGTAATCATTATCTATGCAAATGGATTAAATTCAATACATTAAAGGATAAATTAATAGGGTGGATTTTTAAAATCCAGCTATATACAGCTTCTTAGAGACAAACCTAAAATGAAACACACAGAAAGACTGAAAATAGATAAACTATACCTACTAGGAAAATACTAATCAAAATAAAGCCAGTAACGATAATATCAGACAAAAAAGACTTTAAG